GCCAGAAAGGATTATTTTGTAAACATTTTGGCATCTGTATTTTGCTTTGTCTAATACAGTTTTGTTATCTCTCCCCTCAGACTTTAAAAACTTTAAATAGATTGTATTTTTAAAGGTTATTCTCTGGTAGGTCATATTCTTGTTCAATATTCTGAGTCAACCATACCAGAAGGTATTAGTTTACCAACAATGGAGATTAATTAATGCAAACTCATGGTTACTAACATATCCAGGGAGTACATTTCTCAGTTATTGGTTTTTATATACATTGTTTCGCGTGGTTGGGAATTGAAATGTATTTGTACACTAATTGTAGGATACAAAGTTCATCAATCCCAGACATTTCTAACTGGCATTTTGAAAGCCTGCCCATGTAACGCTCAGGAAGAAAGCATAACCCTTGGTCACTGGGTGGGACGGGGCGGGAGCAACTGTCCTTCGGTCTGCGGTAGGCTCAGCAGTTGAGGAAGCACAGACAGTGGCAGGAGGAGGATGGGGCACTTCCGGGCAGGTTCCGGGTGACCGTGGCTCTCTTCCCTTAGCTAGCCGGACACGAAGCACAGCTAACAAAAGCTACTCGAAGGAAACCCACGAATCACTTCCATAGGATGGGATGGTTGCTTAGGAGCTGCTTAGAAGACTTTTTCAAGTTTGGTTTCATCATTTCAAGCAGTGTTTTGGTGCTTTAAGCATATGGACATTAAGGTTCCAGCTACAACCTGGATTTGAAAGGGACAGGACGGGCCTAAAGCAGGAAGACTCTGAGTCTGCTGATACGTGCTGAAGACTCCTTTGTGTAAAGTAGAAGTTACCCCGTGCCAGAATCACAAACAAGGGATTGAGAAAGGATTCTGATTGACACCCGTGGGCAGGTGAGCATAGAGTGATCAGGTGGAAGGTTGGTTCATCATTTTTTTTTAGTAATTCACAGGTGTAGCGAATCTGAAGCTCCTCTGCGTAAAGGCTGATGCAGCCCTCCACGGGTGCTGACCTCAGCTCAGGTGGGAAACTACACTGTGGGGTCAAGTGAGGGCGAAGTCTGTCACAGAGACAGTGCTACTTAAGCATCTAGAGCAAGATGTGTGCTGAAGTGGGACTGACCTCAGTAACCACTTTTTAGATTTTCTTTTTTGCCTTTATTTCTTGTTACAGTGGAAACAAGTTCTGCAGGTAGTGACACCCTGCTACCCTGTAAGTGAGTGCACTAGGCAGAAAACCTAACAGAAAGGGCCTGTGGGGACAAAAGGCACAGTGAGACATGCTCATGCAGATGTCGCTCTCCTGGTACCACTGCCCTGCTGAGCCAAGGTCCTGCCTGTGTGGAAATCCTACCGTGTGTGACAGAGACCAATATGCAAAAGGTTGACAGTGAACATTTTATGGCAATCACTTCCAACAACTGAGGAGAGAGAGTGCTACGCTTGTGCTGACCCTACCTGTCCACTGCTTTGGTTCCCTTCCAGGCAATGGTTTCTGGCTTTCTCCAGCAGAACAACTGCTCTTCTGGGTCTGATCATGGCCTGAGAGAGGCCCAAAAGCTGCACACAGCTGGATGAGGGCTGCTCTGGGTCAGTTCTACACACACTGTGCCACGAGAGCTGACGGGGCACCCACTCACAAGCGGCTGAGCACAGCTGAGGGACAGCAGGAACGGAGCACGGGGTTGCCAAGTGCAAAAGAGTTAGGAGAAATGGTTATGAGTCAGGACACTTGCTCAGTCCCTTAGGTAGACAAAGGAGACAGAATGTCTGTCACGTCACGGCTTTGTGTGTGTCCTGCTGGAGCTTTTACTCAGGCCTCCCTTCGGGGTAGGGATCTTGCTTCCAACCTTTGATCCTGAGGTCCCTGCTTTGGCTGTTACGGAGCCTTTCCCTGCAGTGCAAACAGACACATGAGACAAGAACTGCATCCAGAGGGAGGCTCTTACCCACGGCGCAGACTGCAGAGCTCACAGTAACAGCGTGAGTGACTGCATCACGGCGCTGTGACCACGGCTGTCACCCACTTCCAGGAGTTAGGCTGAACCTGGTGGGGTCAGCACAGTGGATGGTGGTCACGTGTCCACAAATGGCCAGGCTGACTGTGGCCAAGTGAGATGTGGTTGTGTCGGCCACAGATGCAGATGCACACGTGGTGGCACCAGGAGAGGAAAGAACAAAGAGCTCAGGAGAAATGCCTGCCATGGGAGCAGAGGAACACGGCTCTGAGCTGTTTACCCAACCAGGAGCTTCGAACACGAAGGAAGTGGCAGCCATGACCAGAGATGGACTGCCTGGCCGAGCAGCCATGGGCAGGCTGCCTGGCATGCCTTTCTTTCCTCACTGGTGAAGAGGCTGGCATGAGGCTGACGCCCTGTCCCCCTGTGGCCCTCTGTCCAGGGCCCGTCACAGGCTGGGCCCCCATGCACACTGCCTGTCCTGCTCCATCTACTACGGAGGCATCACTCCCAAAATTAAAGCTGTGTATCCACAGATCTTTTGGTCAGGAATAATTTTCTAATGGAAGATACCATATTTCCTTGTATGGCATCCTAAATTTGACAGAAAATAGCTAAAGTTATGACTTATAAAGCAGGTAGAGGCAGCGCCCATGAGTCTACTGCTTAACTGCGTGTTTCCAGGGGCGCTGGAGTCAGGGATGTAGAGAGTGCCGAGGAGCAGAGTGTGCAGCCTGAGGACGCCCAGCAGGTCTGGTAGGTTACGACTGAGTTAGTGGCACCTGTGGAGCCTTCGGAAGAGCAGCCACAGTTTGGTGCATGTGGAGAATTCCGGTCACATGACTAGCCTGCTCAGTAGGGATCCAGAACATAAGCAAAGACCGGGATGCTCTTCTGAATAAGTTGGAATGGAGGTGGAGACCCTGCGGTGGCAGCACTGGCCCTTACCTGGCGGTAGCACAAGGGCCTTCTGCAGAAGGTGAGTCCTACGCAGGTGCGACGTGCAGCCAGCTGGGCCCATCAGGTGAGCTTTCCAGGCCTGCAATACAAAAGGAGCATGTTCATCAGGCAACGGAGATGGACTTGGGATGCATTCACAGACCCAAGATGACTCGCTGTTCAAGGTGAAAATGAGAGGCGGCTGCACCGGCAGCAGTGCAGAAGCCCAGCCTTTGGGCCTGCGTGCATCCCCTGGGCTGTGCCTGATGCTGCCTCTGTGCTGTTGTGCAGCCCACGCCTTGGCAGCACCTGAGTCCTATAACCAGGCAAGCCTGCCCCTCACATCCATCCCACCCAGAACAACAGGGCACCTCAGTGCCAGCGTCTCTGAGCACTATAGCATCGTGAGATGTTTTCACATAAGAATATGCAGGTGCACATGCACGGTTTAAGGGTAAAAAGCAGAATGCTGTGTGTGAACACCTCCAAGCAGGGAAACAGAACACTCCAGCCCCAGGGTCCCCGCCATCTTGCTCCCTCAGTTCCTCACATAGTTACTGCTGTCCTCATCTGGGCGTTGCCTGACAGTCACACCGTTCATACGTGTCCCTAGAGTGTGCTGTTCGCACGGGCCTGGCTGTGAGATTTGCATGGAGAAACCACACGTAGCTGTTGCTCTGCAGCCTGCTGCTCCCTCTAAGGTCATCTGTGAGATTCGTCTGTGCCGGCATGTGGAGCTCACTTATTGCCATGGCTGTGTGCAGATGTACCCCGTGTATTCTCGGCTCTTCTGAACCTCTGGGCTACTCCCAGTCTTTTCCTTCCTATTGTGAACAGTGCCCCCTCCATCCCTGGGACATTGCTCCAGTAGGTTCTCCACATGCCCCCCTACAGCTTCTGTTTTTTGGTCTTTCCTGGATCATCTTAACAAGACACAACTGCTTGCCTCTCCCTGATCCCCCTCTGGGGGACAGCCTGTCTTCTCTGTTTGGTCTGTGAGCTTTCTCAGGTCAAGAGAAAGTGGCAGAGGATTGCTGGGCTTGAGTCATCTTGCTGGTACCATGTCCCAGAGGCTGGGACAAGGAGAGGCCAGCAGCAGGACACAGTGGGTGGACTGCAGGTGACAGTAGCTACGGAGGTTGGAGGTGAAGTAGCTAAGCTAGACAACAGGTGTCCAAAGCCAGGAGGGCCACCAGGGCTTGGCACTCCCTGAACTGGCAGAAAAAAGGCATCTCCAGCCAGTTGTGTTAGAGAGCCAGAATAACAGACATGGAGCCGCAGACTGCCCCGGTCCCTCGTCCCTCCTCAGTGCCTCCCACGCCAGAGAAGCAGGTGCGTATGGAAGATGCTGCCCGTCCCCAACAGGCCTGTTGAGTCTCAGGTGCAGCGTGCACTGGGGAAGGGAGGAGAGCTTGGAATCAGACAGGACGTAGAACTGTCAGACCAGTCTGGCTTAAGTGTTATGAATCAGAAGTGACCAGAGTATTATAGAATCTGGCCAAGATGCCATTTAGGGCCTCAATACAAAAAAGAAAGCAGTGACCAGAAAAAAATAAACCATTTCATGCTTATATCCTAATGAGACTCCTCAAATAAACCACTTATATGTGTTGTGGAAGGAAGTCGCGTGACTATGCAGGCAAATGGAATAGCTGTTCAGAAAAAGCTGGAACAGAAACGTCCTGCCCCCACACACTCAGCGTGCTTTACACCGCCTGCAGTCCGGCAGTGGCAGCAGTGGAGGCAGCGGGTCACTGCTGCGGCCATCTAAAGGTGTGCCGATTACTCATGTTGGTCACTGTCCCCAGATGGGCCCTCACCTCTTCTCCTGGTGTGAAGTTCTCATGGCACAGAGGACACCGGTTTGCCAGCTTCTCTGGTTTGGCAGCTGAAATGATTTCAATAAAGTAATATTTAGTTACTCCTACGAAATGTGAACAAGAGGGAGGACATTCCAACAGGAATGTCGCCTGCGTGGCTGTCGGACCCTCTTTAGTCACACAAAGGCCCTTGCAGATGCCCCGCAAGCAGCTATGCCTTTTCCCAGGAGCATGCCTGGTGACCAGAGGGCAGGGCCTAAGAAGAAACACTCACGGTTACAACTCTTGGCTTTTATGTGTCTCGGCAGCTCTTCTTTTAAAATGGCCTCGCTGCAGCGGTAACACTTCCCAAACCCTTCTTTCTTGTCACATTCTGTCAGCAAGTGCTCCGTCAGGCTGGAGATCTCAACCACCTGGATCCCAAACACAGAACAAAGCATGTCGCTGAGAACGCTGGCAGGCACCCTGCTGGCCAGCCTACGTGGTCTGTGCCCTGTCCTGTGCCTGCAGAAACCACAGCTTGTCGGTCACACATGAAGGTGAGCTGTATACTCACTTGTCTCATCCCACAGAGCTTTTGTGGTCATTTGTTATGCTTTGCTGAGACCCCACATCCCATTCAGGCACCCTAGTATCGTGTAAAGGTCACTGCTGCTGCTGGGGGGGAGCCTGGGGGAGCTAGTTGATTCAATTCGGTGTGACACTTGTATTATGGGGCAGAGTACCCTGGGTTAAACATGTGGCCTAGGCTCAAATCCTGGCTCCCCACGATTGCTAAGAATGTGCACAGAAATGGGATCGCAAAAAAGTGTTAAGAGATCCTCTTGCCACTTTGACTTCTTTGGCAGGAACGACTTATACACCCTAAAACTTCATGCCACAGGAATTTACACACTGCTGGAGAAGAGTCTGCACTGCTGTGCTGAGGAACAGTCTCTCATTCAAACTTCCCTGCAAGCTTGAAAGAGGCCCAGGGCAACTGAGAGAAGCTCACTCTCCTTTCATCTTCCTTCTTTATTAAAAGGAAGGCCCATGCATTAGAGAATACGTTAAAAATTTGGGGTAGGAGAAGATTTTTTAAACAGGACATGAAAAGCATAAACCATAAAAAAGACTGATGGATGGACATTAAAATCAAAAACTTCTTTTCATCAAGAGACACACTAAGACGATAACTAGCGGAGATGCAGAACAGGAGAAGATGCTTACAATGCACAGCCCAGCGGGATGTACAAAGAATGACTACAAAGCAGTAAAAAAGGACAGCCCAATGTAAATAGGCAAGAGACTAGAAGAGTGCTTTGTAGAAGAGGACAGCCAGTGGCCAGCAGACAAGCGGATGGGTTTCCCGCCTCACTGCCATCAGGCAACTGCAAACTGAAAGCTCCCGAGGCAGCACCGAGCACTGCCAGGAGGGTGCTGCAGAGGGCATGGGCCACTGTGAGGTGCTGCTGGCAGGCTGGGAGCTGGCAGAACCACCTTGCAGCCCCACATGGCATCGGCCCTGCAGCTGAGCATCTGCATGTCCAGCAGCCCACTGCCAGATGTGCCCCCACAGAGTGCACTCGTGTGTGCCCCAGAAGGTGTGGTCCTGAATGTCTGCAGCAACCTTACTCACAGCCATCCCAAACCAGATACCCCAAACCCCAGAAGCAATGGAAAGGATAAGTAAATCCTGGCCTGTTTGCACCGTGGATGCTATAAAGCAAGAACACAAACATGCTACAGATGAATTACATGCTGTGTGATTCCATTTGTGTGAAGCTCAAAAAGCAGGTAACACACAATTGTGGCTTCTGACCCCAGGATGGTGATGACTCTGGGGAGGAGACCCGAAGGGCATGTGACACCTCATGGCTTATGGGTGTTTACGTGTGTGTGCTGTGCCTCAACTACTGGTCTCACAGCTTCCCCTCTGAAAGCATGGGGACTTGGGGTATCTAAGTGGCACAGCCCTGTGCC